GAAGACACTTTGCGATGGGACGGAATGGCCCTCCAGCCCTTGACCGGGAACGGCGATGTACTCCCGGTGTTCTACTCAAGAGGCCCATTGCCTGGAAATAAGGGGTCTCATTATTGTTGAGTAAATGGGTGTCTCATTATTGTTGAATACGGTGGGACGAAATGAGCTTAAAAAGTGAGCAAGTTCATGCCATGTTTGCCTGAGAACGTTCATTTTTCAGAATGTATTTTTGAAACAAATTACATCAAAAGGCTTGAACATGCCTGCTCGCAACCTCGAGAGCAGGGACAAGGATGGTCTGAGTTGCAGCTCCCGTAAAACCGAAAAGTTTCGGCCGCTTCAAATGCCACCAGACGGCGGGCGCCGTGTTAATCTGTCTTCTGGCTAGATAAATAGCCGCAACAACACGAAAAATAGAGATTCTACCTTCACTCTTCCCGTTCAACCACCAGACTACAGCCCCACTTCGCGGTGTTTTGAGAGCCAATTCGTTCTTTTCATCAGTCTAAAAATTGCACACGTGAAATATGGGCTTAGACTGCCTTCTAAATGCAAGATCTGATGTCATGAAGCGTTGAAGAATACTTTTTCAGAAGCGTCGTTATTTTCGTCCACACGTTGGCCACAACTTAATATTAACTGTTAAGCGGACGCTGCGCGGCCTACGGAGACTGCAAGGCCTGGGGTCGAAGCCTGTGTTTCTAAGATTTTCGAGTGCGCATGCTCAGAATTACATCACATAACTTGTATTACTAGTCGATTACAGTGTTTAAAGGTAATCATTTCAGAAGTGTCATCATTTTCGTCCGCCGGTGGGCCGTGGCTAAATATTAGCTACTGGGCTAACGGTCCGCGGACTATGGAGACTGCAACGCCTGGCGTCGCGGTTGCTGCTGCTAAGATTTGCGAGCGCTCATGTTAAAAGGCACGTTACATAAATTGTATCGCTAATCGGTTCCGACTGAATGGTGAACACTTCCAGGCAAACATGGCTTCGCCATGTTTATACACATTGTTGATCACTCGATCTGCAATCAGATTTTCATCTTCGAATTTGGATAAAACATATCGCTCTACAATCTACCTTCACAATGTCCTCAATGTCTATAGACCTTAGATACCAATTTTGACAAGGCTTCTGAATTCTATCGGTTTAGAAAGAGTCAAATAACCATTGTAAGTTAAGAGTGCCGGTAATTTATCCCATTCAGTTGCTCAACGCCTGATTTCTGCCGTTTATTAACCTCAAAATACAAACAGAATTGAGCTCACGGTCGCTCTTTATTTCTGTTATGGTTAAAGGTAAAAATAACAGTAAAATAAAGAAAACCGTGTCACTTGTTAACAAGTAAGCTATATCGGGGATTTTTTTGGAGGGGGGGGGGGGAGGTCACGATAAGATGGACTTTTGTCAACCTTGTATTCCCCCTTGGCAAGGCTTTGGCTACGCCTCTGCCTACACACAAAAGCAGATCAAGTCGTATGCGTTGCATCATGGGCAGTGACGTATCCGTTGGGCCAATTCATACCTAAGGCAGACAGCTTTCCGGAGGCTACTTTTCTGCGATGGTGTGGTGTGAGGGAAGATAATTCGAAAAAAAATACTGTTGCAGGTGTCCAGCACATGTTTCATACACGATGTAGTAGTAACGCTGACCCAAAAGTATGAAACAAAGCAGCCATACGATCAGTTCGCAGTCAGACATGCGGGAGACATCCGGTCCAGGGCAGTGGCCACCGACGGCGGACAGGAGCAGGGCCCAGATAAGGAACATAGGACAGACGGGCCTTATTATGTGGCTTAATTCTTAAAAGAGAATCTTCAGTGTTATGACTTTTTCATTGCTTCTAGCAGTTTCAAGCTCCAGACTTTGTTTCTGCTTAAAATGCTGCGACAAGTCTTATTTCTTGAAAAGTAGGCAGCGAAACGACGGCGCATGAAAAATCTGTCGCATTGTGAACCATCGATCCACTTTCAAAATTATCACCAGCCTAAAGGCCGTATTTTGGCATCTACGCTTTGGAGGCAGAGCTTCCTCAATGAACCAAAATGCCTACCCGCTCGTTAAATTTCGTCTCCCCAGGAAAGACCATGTTAAAAGGGGAGAATAACCTAAGGAAGGTGGATAGCCTTATTTGCCAAATGACAGATGAGTCGAATAGGCAAGATTGTGCACTAGTGAGAAACAGCTCTAGATGCATACCCAGCATAGCAGCCATGACATTTGAATAAAGAGCGATAACAACCTCCATCCTTACCCCCTCCCCCCGGTCATTGGGCTCGCTTTCCAGAAAAAGTTCCTAAAGTACACCATGAGCTTGGCCCCCACCCACTTTTTGAAACGTTCCTACGCTTATGCTGCTACATATACAAACAAGTCCATTTTGTGATGTTCAGGCTAAGTTCGAATATCACTCCAAACTTTGTCAGCATGTCCACGGTAGTGCGATCCGATGCGTCGTCTCTCACAGATAAGACTACCATTGGTGTGGTGCAAAATTGCAATATCTGAGCCATTTACGCATGCCCTGCGGTATATGGGAATCTGCGGAATTTCCGTGCAACAGCTTCAACAGCTAACGCAAGCAGTAATACTAAGATCAAAAGACCCCGCAATGCGTCTCTTGTTTCTTGTTGGACGAAACCAGTTAAATGTACAGCCATTGTTCAATCTTGAAACCAATCGTTTTGTGATATAGTATGCTTACCAAGCTCATGAATGGTCCCCCAGCTTAGGATATCAGATCCCTTAAAAGAAAAATGTGTCGTCGTGTTCAACTGAATCGAAGGCCGCTGCAAAATCGAAATTCATCAATGTGTCCGGTAAATTTTGTTTGTTGCAGCAGTATCAAACATCTGAGATAAGCCTGAGGTTGTTAAATTATTCCTAACCCGTATGAACCCTGTCTAATCTGGTACAACCAATTTGCCAAGAATTTCTCAGCCTTCGGTCTTCGGGTTTTATGTGTGTGCTTCTCGCAGCATCACTCTCTCATCACTTTCTCTAAGCAATTTTCATATTTTTAGAACATCCCACTTGCTTTCCTCTTATTCCAGACAATCCTGGACACGGACGCGGCCACCACGCCCAACCAGTTGTTGTGTTTTGGTCATCCCGTCCTCCGCCATCGATGCGCTGTCAGGGGATCACCGGATAAAACGGATGCACTCGGCCCATAAGTGTGTCGCAATGCCAGCTCATAACGCCACAAAAGTATGGTCAAATGCAGTACGTTGGACTCTTGCTCCGCGGTTGTGTTTTTCCCAGGCTGCGGTATGTTTGCCTCTACTTGGCGGTCAGCCACCGCACCTTATTGCAAAAGAGGTGTTGCGGGAACACTGCATCGGCGGCCGACAGTGATCCCGGGGTCGAATCGTGTGGATATGGTAACACAAGCGCCCGCGCACGGAACAGTTTCTTCGCCCGCGTGACAACACTGAATAACACTCTTGCCGTTGGCAGCGAAAATGGGTGTCTTCGACCCACAAGCTTGTTGATAAGCCAGGTGATAGCCATACATCAGTGCTATCAAATACATACCGTTCCTATCCATGAACTATCGTGTGATTAAAAACATTTTCCCAGGCTGCCGTATACTAGCCAAGACTCTGTGTGCCGGCGGACCGCCTTTGGTGGCAAAATCGGTAATGCTGCCAGACGACCAAAACCGACTCTCGCGGCAGATAGTACCCCCAAAGTCATATTATGTGCACACGGTCGCGCATGCTGCGTACGAGTACGTGCATTTCCGCCTGCCCGCCAGCATTGAGTGATACGCTGTCAGGAGTCAGTCGAATAAGATGAGTACCTTCGACCCACGAACATGTTGCATCGCCGGCCAATTTCCCTACAGCAGTGACATCAAATGGACAAGGTGACACCCTTAACAACTGCGAGTATATCCACCAGGCGGACGTTTACTAACCGCCAAGCAGTTGCTAGCCGACCGCATTTAGTGACAAAATAGCTTATTGCGGCCGAGGAACGATTTACATTGTGAGGCTATAGTCGGCCCACCGCGCGCTGTCCGCGGATTCGCCGGCGGCCGCTCGCGGCCCGCATTGGCCACAGATTGCCACGCAGTGTTCCTAAAACACTGTCGCTTCTCAGAAACCAGAATTGATGGGGTACGTTACAGCGCCAAATCACGTGCAATATATGCCCCAGAGACCACCGAAAAGGTGAGCACGAATGCACGGCATTCCGGAGAGGCATCCTCAAAAAATGAAATATTTGGAGGGTGCTCAAGTCCTCTTGTTGTGAAAAAGGAAACATATTTCTTAGACGTTGGTTGCTACAAATAACCATAATGCTGCATGTTTAACCACAAAAGCAAGTGGAGAAACACCCGCCGCACGTGCACTCGCCGGCTATCTTGTAAATTACTGCTGTTCGAGTTTAAAAATATTCGAGACCGTTCATTTGAGCCCAACCATTTTTCGCGTGATTCCGAACGAACGGCGGCGACTGGACTTTCCCTTCGCCTTGAGTTGTGAAAAAATTGACTGACAGAGATCCCTGGCGCTGCATTGCCCATGGACTAATGCTGCATACAATTTTTGGTTTCTGTTCAATAACTGAACCTGTAGTCCGCATGTCCATCCTGGTTTTCATCCGTGAGCGCTTATGTCCTGTTGTTACCATACTTCGTCATTTATGAATTCAACTATTATGCGAAGTATTCCTACGACTTTATTTGCCCCCCGATGCTGAAGTTTTGTTCGATTTTGATATTGAAATAAAGGAAAATTGTAGCCTGGTTTAAGACAGCCGCCATTTCCGAAAGACAAAAGACAGTAAAACATGTCAAGGTGATTAACATCTTCGGGTACCTTTCTTAAATATACTGTCCAAGCGTCATTGATGCGACCTTTTATTCAGCCAACACCCCGTTGCTTTTTAACATTTTTCTCGTCATTAGACTTCGACATGCATGCAATTGAAACCAGACTGCCCATGTGAGGCATTATGAGCACCAGCATTTTGACCCCGCTGGGCTAAGCAAGCCTCGCATCAGCGTTCCCTCCCCAAATATTTTAGCATTATTGATTGCAAGCGCATTATACAGGCCATTAAATCTGTATGGCAGTGGACGACATGGTCGAAGCGTGCTTTGAAAAACAGCAAAAACACGCCTTCGGTATCGAATTTTAGGTCGCGTTGCAACTTGCTTTTGAGACGGCACTGGACTACGATTGCATTTGCCGCTCTATTCTGACCGTGACTAACGGTACGTGACGGGTGATAATTCAGTTTGACGGTAAATACTCACTCAGATTGAATTCATGCCAGCATTGAAACGGGGTTATGGTATCACAGGGGCCGGCACGTATCGCGCTGAGTTCACCGAAGCCCCTTAGTTTAACATTTCATGACCCACGTAGCGGGTAGGGGCTTTGTCAAAGTATAGCGCATGTCGTCTCTTACCGCGCGTGCTAAACGAAATGTCGGATCGATTTTACCAAAAGCCATTTCACATGGCTCATTGACAAACACCAAAATGTATTTCCATAAAAATGTGAATATGTATATATATATGTAGGCACAGCGGCTGTTAAACCACACACAAACTTTTTATATTACTTGTTAGAAAATCCTAGCACAATCGGCAGGTACAAACACTGGGGATCCAGGGGTAGAACGGCACCACGGCCCTCAAAACGGCAAAACGAATCTCTAGTAATATCTCTAGAGTTGCCGTCGGTTGACGCCCCAAAAATCGGGGCTTGGCCCCGAAGACAAGGCGCTGGATCCGTCCCAGGTAACAAACACACTCATAAATAACACATAAATACAAACAACTAGAGCCATCTACCTGCACATTATACAAAACATCCGCACGACCAGGAAGTATTGAATGACTAGCTGGGCGACAACCGCATGCAGTGTCCGGGAGCCGTTCCTGGTCCGACAGGTGGCACTGCTGGCGCGCGGCGCACTCGGCCCCGTGGCGTGCCGTCCACTCTCAGCACACGTAGTGCAAGTGGTGGTGGTGGTGGGTATGCACATCACGCGGCTCTGTAGACGAGCTGCAGCTGCAGCAGCTCCGGTCTCCCAGGCTGTGGCTTTGGTCACTGCGACGACTGCTCCACGAGTCCACTGGGGCCAGCATGTATGCGTGGTCCGATGGCGCTGGTGTCGGATGCGGTGGCGGCGGGTCATAGCGCCGCTCGTGGTGAGATAATGCACTGCAGCTTAACGGCACGCCACGAGATGTCTCTGGGCCTGTCAACGGAGCATACGCCGTTGGGAGTACATCAGGCTGCCTCAGTCAGAGTAGCCTCTTGGGAGAACACCACCAGCTTTCAGTGAACGTCGCTTGGCACGAGGAACGATTGAATGCGTTCATTCTTAGTCATCAAACCAGCAAAATTGTTGCCTGACAACGAGCAAAGAATACACCCTGCGTGGCCCTACTGGTGTCCGGTGGAGCACATGAGAAAACTGCAACATTGCAGCGTTGTGGCTGGCGAACGGCAAGCGGCCACGCCGCTGCCGCACATCGCCCAGCCGCGCTTACCCGAGATCAGTTCGGAGCGCTCTTTGTCAGCTGGCAGGTGCGTCACGATCCTGGTACCCATCAACGATGCCTCAGCATCCGACTTGAGCTCGCCGGGCAGCTGCGGGAGAGTCCCAGCCGCCGTTAGGGTCGTGTTGCAGCTCAGCGACTCGGGTCGTCCGGGACCCGCTCGTCACTAGTGTGCGTTGATCAGGGAGATGCAGGAGCAGCGCTTTTCAACTGGGCGTCACAAGAAAACGAAGACTGGTGTGTGCTTCTCTGGATTAAAGTGGGAGGTTTTGAGGCACGTCTGGTCGGAATAAGATGTGCCGCTTATAAGCTGGTTTAATTAGAGGTGTCGTTCACAAGCCGCATCAGGTCATGCATAAAGGTAATGCGAGGCCAGTTAGAGGCATCGAAGGTAAGGGGCTCGCGAGTCCTATTTGTTATAAAAAAATCAGCCAACACATTTTCAAATCCAAGACTGAACCAGGAGCGCTGTAAAATAATTTCTAGTGAAGTGGCCTAACATGAACGTGGACTGCCACGGCCTTGATCCTCTGTGTTCAAGAACATAACGCTATTTTAAATCGCAATGACACGTTCATTTGCTTCTTGGAAGGCTCTAGGAACATTACCACATGTGAAAGAGAGTCCTGAGGGTCTCTTGTCCCGTTTTTCGTTTGCAATGGCTGACGGCGGCCCGACCCGGGCTGTCGTCAGCCAGTGCAAAAAGTCCGAACCAATCATGAGATCCCACGGGTACTTTTAAACCACTTGACGGCCACGGTGGGCGAAATAGTCCGCGTTGGCCCGTTTGACATTGACAGGAATCCCGCTGCCTCCCCCCCCCCCCCTCTCCCCATTCAGATGACGGCGAAACTTAAGCTATAGCTGGTAACATCCAATCTAGGAGCATAATCGTCAGCTTTCCTGATTTGTTGTCTAGAAGTGTCGATTCTTAACCCGTGAATCAGTCACTTAAACTTAAAACTGAAGTAAAGGCTTTCTTCACATTGGTTTTGGAAGGATCAACGGCTGTTGTCACTCAAAAAGAACATCTCTGGCTGGCAGAAACTTTTCATTAAACGGAATAACAATTACCTTATTGACCTATGTTGGCCCGTGACGAACATCTTTTGTTAAAAAAACCCGATTAAAACAGGAAAATATCACTTGCCATAGCCATTTGACTTGACACCTTGCCCTCCGACAACAAAATCACCTGGGTATCTCGTGTTAAGCTATGCATGAACTTTCTAATGGCGTTTTGCTCGCCCCTTTAGCACCTTTCAATCTAAAAATGCCAGAAGGTGCCCCCTCCCCCTCTGTCAGCGCATAGTTGGTGCAGACCATCGCCAGGCGAGGGTTGGGTGGTTCACTTTACTTAATAATACCCTTACTTCACTGGCTTAAGATATTCTACAATTGAATAAAATCCAATACAAGTCCAAACTGACCCGCTCCCGACCCATAATCCTCCTCGAAACGATCAAAAACAACCTAAGAAGCGTTGTGTTCTCAAACTGGTGCCATAATGAGCCTAACTAGCTTTATGTGTTGATAGCTGAAAGCCCACCTGCGGGTGCTTCCGGCGCTGGCAGAGGCAGCCAATGGCAGTCAACGACAGCACTACCACGATGGCCACTGGCGCGATGATCATCAGGTACACGTGGCTGCTGGGACGTGCTGTGAAGGGGTCCGGTTCTGGAACGTGACCGGCCGACGTGTCAGGTCGACGGACTGCGCGTTTACAATCTCCGAGTACAGACGGAGACATCAACAGAGATGTCGGCTGGCGCCTGACACCAACCAATCAGATGAGCGCTATGCGTGCTCGGTATGCCGACCTAATTGCACTCGCGGCTATCACGTATTGCTGACCTGGCCGGTGTATAATTGGGTTTCTACTCAGGTATTTTTAGTGTCGGCGTTGACATTCACGCGTTTATGTTTCTGCTTGTGTATGATGCAGCGCCACACCTTCCGTTTGGATTTCTGGGCTGGATAAAACACCAGATGAGCGGGAGTGTTACAGGTTGGGCGCAGGGTTCAGGGTTTGAGCAACAAATTCCGCTCCGGGAACGCTTTTTTAAACACGAAACGTCACCTACGAGCTATTCTGAGTACATTTAGCAAAAAGCGTCGTGGATAATGAAATATCTTCGCCAAAGCCATGAGCAAGGCCAGATCAGCGTCATCTCCATTTCTTTCAAGAACTGGAAACTGAAATCACGAAAAGCCTTAAGCTGGGTCTACAGTAGTCCGCAAAAGGTGCCGTGTTTTTAGTGTAGCGTCTTGTGTCGGAGCTTCTGGGAGGCTGCTACAATCAGCTGGTTTAGCCCGTATGATTGAGACCCTCCTCGTGCGGCGATCGACTGGTCATCGGGAATCACGGGATCGGAAGTGGACTCGGCCGAAGGTTCCAGAATACCAGCTCACGTCGGGATCGGGTGACTGCCACGCAGTAATTCTGACCTGGGAGTCGGACGAGGTGGCTGGTGTCTGTATGGCTGAGCTGTGATTGGTGGACTCAAGCGGGTACGATAATTCAGAGGCTAAGATTACGTTGATGCAGCCTGTGAGCAGAAGAGACTCTGGGTCTGGGTCTGGCTGGTCTATAAAGGTCTAAAGGTCAGGCTGAACTACAGAAGACGCCACAGTGTTCCACCTAGTTTTGTTTTGCCAGATGGTTAGGGGACTCTGTTTGAGCTTTCACTTACCCGTTATTGCAAACTGATCCAACTGTACCACGTAAAAGCAATATGAAGGAGACACCGTGAATAAAGTACACTAAGTACATAAGTACATAAAAGTGTCGCTACCGATCAGACTTGTGACGCCACTATGGCATCACAAGGATGGTATTAAACATATTCGTTGTTGCAAATTCAAACCCCTCGTTCTGAGAGGGAGACGATACCCACACGTTTTTGGAACAGCTCTGCAGAACGGGTCACGCCGTCCCAATGGTGTTCACACATCATGTTGCATTAGTTTAAAGGGCCATCTAGAATTTTGTTGTTCGTCCAAGTCGGATGAACAGAATGGATAAGTTTCGGCAAGGCCGTGGTGAGCCAAAGCGAGGCAGAAAATGGTGTTTGTTACGAATGCATTCTCATGTTTGTCAATTATGCATTTCCTAGTGCATAATTGAAGTGCATAGTGCACTTCAATTATGCATTTCCTCCTGACTACCAATTCTACATAACGTTGGTACTACCTGATTTCCAAATAGCAAGCTGATGACACAATTTTTCACGCAAACGGCTTGATAGCCGTTTGACGTCGGTTAAACGCAAGCACGATAGAATTGTGGGATGAACACAGAATTGTGTGCCCTTCCAAACTGTCAAGAGTTGAGTTGTGGGTCGACTGCACGCAAATTAGAAAAAAACAGTGTTAATGACCTGATATGAACTTGAACTGGACTTCAAGCAAACAGCCTCATCTTTATTCAGCGCCAAATTAGAAGGGAGCGGCAGATACTTACCCCCGCCCACGTTATTTTGAGGTTGGCGCGGAACCTCTTCAGCGCGAGTTACATATGTTCATGTTAAGTACGGAAAGCTTCAAACTGCTCTCGCGCTTCGTCATCTCCTCGTTCCGAAGCTGGGAACAATAGCTCGGCAGGAGATCTCATCTCATCTGAGACGTCAGTCTCAGCAGGAGAGATCTCATGCTGGTCGAAGAGAGTCGCGATGCGTCTACAGAGCTAAGAGTCTGCAACATCTCGCTCGGACTCGGAGACTCTACCTCGGTCTCTCTCTCGCGCCTCACGTCTCGAGCTCTCTCTTCTCTCTACTCTCAGACAACCACTGCCCAAGCCATCGTCTCTCCCCTGTCATCTCTCGCTCTCCCCTCTCTCTCCCCCCTCTCTCTCCCTCTCTCTCTCCTTCGCTCTCTCTCTCTCCCTTGACGGTTGTTGCGGTCCAACCAACGAGACACTCCCCGTGGTCAAAGGGTTACGGAATCACGCTTGTGTAGCTAGCTGCCTCGGATCCAGGCAGCTGGTAAGACCTTAGCCGGCGCCTGCCAGCTGCCATGCCGGCGGTGCGATCTGTTGACAGCGCCGGCTCGGTGCAACCGATAAGTCGCCATGATTGTGTCAGATAACAGAGACTGCGGCCAGCGGCGAGAAATGCGCCGTGATTGGGCTTAGCCGTGGCGGCTGGGCTAGTATTCTGCAGATGTCCCCGGCAAAGAACACGACACAGGCTGCACGACAGGTGACGAGGCGTTGGGGACGCCCGTAAACCGGCTTAAGCGGCCCAGGCCCGCCGTCGGAGCTCGGTGCGCAGTAAGGAACGAGGGGCGCAGCGTAGTGAGACCAGGAGGAGCAGCGACATCGGGGCTCAGTGCACTATCCGAGACGAGGGACGCAGCGTAGTGAGACCGGGAGGAGGAGCGACATCGGAGCTCGGTGCGCTATCCGAGACGAGGGGCGCAGCGTAGTGAGTCCGGGAGGAGGAGCGACATCGGAGCTCGGTGCGCTATCCGAGACGAGGGGCGCAGCGTAGTGAGACCGGGAGGAGGAGCGACATCGGAGCTCACTCCACTATCCGAGACGAGGGGCGCAGCGTAGTGAGACCAGGAGGAGCAGCGACATCAGAGCTTGGTGCACTATCCGAGGCGAGGGGCGCAGCATAGTGAGAACAGGAGGAGCAGCGGCATCAGAGCTATATGCACTATCCGAGACGAGGGGCGCAGCGTAGTGAGACCGGGAGGAGGAGCACCGTCGGAGCTCGGGTCACTCCATGGGGGAGGAGCGTAGCGTAATGAGACCGGGAGGAGTAGCTACTGTGCGGAAAAATTGACAGCAAGGGAATCAGACATAGCACAAGGCTAGAAGCTCGGCGAAGCATCATACCAGGTGAAAACGATGACATTGTTCGCATTTCATCTCTTCTTTGGGGCATGGGGTTTGGAAAAGTGAGAACCGCTGCAATGAAACATGCAATGCTACTCCATAAGTCCAAGGTCGATACTTGCATGCGCGTATTTGGAGTACGAAGGTGTAAATACAGATGATGCGACCAACAACGGGCATCCAATGGTGGACGTGGGTTCATCACCCGCCTCCGTAACCACCGGAAAGTCCGTGCTAGCTGTTACATGCTTCGAAGTTTTTGGCGCTGATCTAAACCAAATGACTTTCAGGCAGCAAAGCTGTCGACAGGTGGTTGGCTGGGCACGGCAAATGTTCTTGATATTATGCCTAGGTCTTCGGTCTTGATGCTAGCAGAGGCCAGACACACAGCCTAGTCCATGCTTGCGTCTCTTTCCCTCGCATCAACAACTGCGAACTGGCTTGGGGGCCAAAGACGAGTAAGAAAGCACGAAAAACACTGGCCCGAATATGCCGGGCTCGCAACCAGGATGAGTTTGTGCGAGCGAGCGGTGCCTGCCCTACCAGCGTTGACGTGTTTACGCTGGGTTCAGCTCCGGCCGGCCCCACTCTCGCGACTGGACCATCCAGGACCAAGGCCGGGGGACAAACACTCGACGCGCGGTGCGTGCTCAGTACTTACGCACACCGCGCACGGCCAGGTAAGCGGTGCGCACAGTGAAGCCGCCGTTGTTGGCGCCCAAGCAGACGTACTGGCCGCTGTCCCTCCGCCGGGCCCGCGCCAGCGTCAGCTTGATCATGTAATGATCCGGCCCGCTGCTGAGCGTGTCCGAGGCGTTCAGCACATGGTACCGATCGCCGTTCAGCACCTCAATAGTCCTGGTGGAGTTCTGGAGAGCTTGGCTATCTCCGGAGTCGATCCTCTTTAGCCACTGCCAGAGGCGTCGAGCACGGCGTCACAGTCCACTCCTGACACAGACATTGCGTTCAAAAACCTGTCGTGGCCGCGCAGAGAACATCTCCCGCATCGTGATCGGTACGAGTCCGGCTTCAGCGACCCAATCCGCGGCGCGACTTCTCATGATATAGCCACACACGCCGCGGCGTGACGCCTAACGATGCGGCCACACACGCTGCGTTGTGACGCCAAACAACGCGGCCACGCACGCCGCGGCGTGACGCCTAACGACGCGGCCACGCACGCCGCGGCGTGACGCCTAACGATGTGGCCACACAAGCCGCGGTGTGACGCCCAACGACGCGGCCACGCACGCCGCGGCGTGACGCCTAACGATGCGGCCACACAAGCCGCGGCGTGAAGCCAGACGTCACGGTCACCCACACCTAGCATGCGACGCACGCAGCCCTGCAAACGACAGCGCGCCGGACCGGCCGGTGCCAGGTTTCTCACGCTCCCATAACCCAGCCGTCAGTCACGTCATCTGCCAGCCCGAAGATGCAACAGTCACGCACGACGAGGGCCTGGCCCGCCGCCAGCGGTCGGCACCTACCTTGACGTGCATCGGCGGCTGACCATTGAACTGACACTGCAGCGACACCCGCTCGCCGGCGTCCACGGTCGTGTTTTGCGGGCCGTCACCGACGATCCTCGGCTTCTGCTCGTACGGCTCTGACAGTAATGGGGCCAAGTGTTACGTGGTGGTGCGCGCACGGCTACACACGCCAGCACCGACAGCACGTGATTGGGGCCGCGCAGTCACGTGATTGGTTTGTGGCTGATTAATACGGCACAGCGATGATCTCGAATTATCCATCCTACGACGCTGGATAATTTACCCGACGAGTTGTGTCCCGCAAACATGTGCGTTCGAGTGTTCAGTAACGCACGGCTTGCGAGACATGTCGATTATCACATGGACAGTGAAGTGAGCAGGGACAATGCATTACAGGGCTGCCATCGAATACATAGTCCAGCTCTTGACGCCCCAGCGTCGCAGCGTCGCAAATTAAAACATTCTGATGGAGAAAAACCGCACGGCGCCGTATATGAAGTGTGAGTCATGTGCGCGAACTGGTCGCGTACCCTCGTGCGCAAATCTTGGAGGCAGCGTTTTCGGGACCAGATTCGGATCCCTGCACCCAAAACAGATACAGGCTTGTCACTAATGACAAGATCGATCTCTCACGCACGACGCTGTGGCCTAAAAGCTACATGCGCGTTTAACCTTGTTCATTGTGGCCAATATGCGCCGAAGCTGTTTTTTTTTTACAATAGCTCGGCCAGAGCCAAAACAACAAAATCAAGATTCATCAATATCCTTTGACAACGGCTTCCGTTTGACGGCGTCGTGGCAAACGGCCAACACAGCCATGCCGAAACCAAGCCCTCTGACAAGTAAGAAATGTCAAAAAGTGTCCATTAACCTTGAAATACCGTGCTGGAATAGCGAAGCCATGTCATCGTAGCAACCCATGGAATGGGGAAGAACTCTGATCGCGAAGCCATGCCTGCAAGGCAATCTGGAAATAATGTTGATTCGGAACTTGGTGACACTGTCTCGTGTTGCCTTGCTTAGCTGTACTAATCAGCAAAGCCGATGTCCCATCCCATACTGTTCCGTTCTGCCTGTTTCGCAGTTGGTTAGCATCTTGGACATGCATTTCCTTGCTGCTCGTTTTCTGGGGTTGGTTGGTCTTTACCGTGGTATGGTCGGCCAAAGATATATCAAGGGATTCGACTTCCTTTGCTCAACGACTGTCTTATCAACAAAAATCCACCAGCGTGTATGAAGGCTCTTAAGATAAGGATATCGGGGCATATTTTTGTCTTACTTTCAGATTAGGTGACGGTGACTGTAGAATCGCCACCATTTTTGTGTGGTCAAGGCAAAATCGGCTGTCTTTAGAAGTCATGTGGGGTGGTGCCATGATTGATCAACCGATTGGCTGCAGTTATTCAGTATTCATGACTTGACGCCAGCAGGATGGAGGCAGCAATATATGGCTATATATATATATATATATATATATATATATATATATATATATATATATATATGTCTGTATTCTCGCGCAGGCCATAGGGCGAGAAACCTCCAAAGACAGGAGCTTATTCGAAAGGTGGGCACCGGAGCAGCACGGCCGTCCCTTATCCTTTTTGCCTTGATTAATGTGCATGTAAAGCACTTTGACATTCAAGAAATCAAGGTAGACACGTAAACATGAGTGGGTTGAAATCATGACATGCTGCTATAAGCCACGCGAAGAAATTCATTCGCTAACATGGGTTTTTGTGGGAAAATTGAGTTAAGCCCTGCGTTATGAAACTCTGAAAATGCCCCCGCAGCCTTCAGTGTCGCAACAGCAGCCGACCTCGGCGCGGGACCGCCAGTGGACTGGTCCATAGAGCTGAACCATACAGTGGACTGGTCTTCGTCAGCAGCGCAGTCTCACCTTGTCTCACAGCTTCAGTCTCACCTTGCACGTCCAGCTGGAAGCGGGCGGCGTCCTGGCCAAGCAGGCTGGTGAAGCGGCACTCGTAGGTACCCGAGTCAGCGCTCGTCAGCTGACTAAGCGTCAGCCGGCCTGAAGCCGTCAGCTCGGGCCGTCGGAACGCCGTGCCGTCCTGCGACAGAGCCAGCGAACCCATCTCAACCGCCGCTGCGGCCCGCAGCCGGCCGGCCGCCGTCAGAGCCAGCGAACCCAGCTTAACAACCGCTGCGGACCCGCAGCCGGCCAGCTGGCGACAGAGCCGGCGAGCCCAGCTCAACCACCGCTTTGAGACGCAGCCGGCCGGCCGCCGTCAGAGCCAGCGAACCCTAGCTTAACAACCGCTGCGGCCCGCAGCCGGCCAGCTGGCGACAGAGCCAGCGAACCCAGCTCAACCGCCGCCGCAGCCCGCAGCCGGCCAGACGCCGCCAGCCGCGGTGCTCGCCGCCGCGTCAGCGCCATCGCTGGCCACAGGCGCCGCGGCGCACACTTCAGCCCGCGCGTGCTTTCATAAGAGGAAATTCATTCAAAATAGTGACAAGCACCGGCCGCAAAGACGATAACAACACGCAGCGCGACGCCCCTCTGTTTGCTCTCGGGTGCATCTCCGACAGACGGCATGTTTGCCTTGCGCCCGGCCCGCGCCGACCCCTGCCCGTCACCGTTTGCTCAGTGGACGTCAAACACTCCGGCGCCTACCTTGAACCACTTCACGTCCGGCTTGGGCACGCCTGTGGCCACACACTGGAAGCGGACCCGTCCGCCGGCGATCTTGTGCACGGGCGACTGCGATGGAAACACCTGGCGGGCACAGGACACAGTGACGCCGCCCAGCCGCAGCACAGCTAGCACCAGCACCGGTGTCATCAGCACCAGTACCAGCGCCACCAGGACCAGCGCACCAGCGTAATCACAGGTTCAGCTCGCCCGGCAATTTACGAGGCAGAACTGAAAAGAACGTCCGCATCAAGCACGTACAACTGCTTCGGGCACCGTCAAAGCGCGCCAAACAGCACCTCAATTCAGGAGGGACTGGCGATTGGCTGTAACCGGGTGACCGAACGACTTTCCTATAGCTCGCCCGCCGCTCATGCGACGAGGCGGATAAAAAAAGATCGGAAAAGATCTGTCGGAGATTGAGCCGTCTGGTAAACCTTACACAGCATACTCGGACAAGCTCGGTGACAGCTGTGACGGACTTTTCCGCTCGGCTGCAGAAATTCACACCAGCCGTGGCACAAAGAGGACGTTCCAGACCAGCGGATTGCCGGGTGACACACGGCTAATCTGGCAGACCTTGGTCGGAACATTCACGACAAGTGACAGTACCGCGCCGTCTGACGCAAGGCTGGGCGGGGACGCTAGCATCCGCACGCCGCCTGCAAGCTCCGGGCCGGGGACAGCCGGCTCGGAAGGCGCACAGTCGATATCGCGTCGGCTGAGCCCGTGCCGGCGCGTGCTGCGAGCCGTTGGCCACTCTCACCTGCGTGATTTTTGGCGGCGACACGTTGAACCGGCGCGAGCTCAGTGACGGGTACTCGTTGCCGGACGTCTCTCCCACGCTCTGGCTCATGAACTGGTCGTCGGCGGGGTCTGGAAGGCAGGCGACCCCACTTGATGCTGCTGGACCGATTATGGCCGGCAGCATGCGCCACTCAGGCGCACGACAGGGGTTGGCGTAGCCCGCTTCGGTGCGAAGATAAATCTCCGCCACGCCCAAGGACAACGCATCGCAGCGCCATTCATATCGCATGCCACTGGCGGACGGCTCCTCACTCAACTCACAGAAATCGGCAAGCCGCAGTGAGAGGTGAGATGTGGAAGGGGTCCAGGACTGGTCAGTGTTCTAAAATTGGTTTTTCGCCTCGTGCCACGGTATCTGTGTGAAATATCGTGAAAGGTTAAACAGGTCATCTAAGACCCTGCAGATTCGACAGAAACATCTTTGGGCCACAATATCTAAAGTACAAATTTTCGCCACAGATAGAGGCGGACAAAATAAATAAGATCCATTTTGGCAGTCGTTGTTTCTTTTCAAAAGCTTGATGTTACAGCAATATTGCCTCCGTGCGTGGTACACACTTAACATGTCAAGGTGCTGATAGGTCATAAGAGACATGATTGATCACTCGGAGCATTTTTCACAGTGAAGCTCGCAGCAGTCTTGCAAGCGTGACATGGTGAGCAGGACGCTCCCTGTTGTCTGAAAACGTGATATTTGCTTCTGTTTGGCGAATGTGACCCGCCATTTTGGTTACCAAACTGGATCAAACGTGTTTGAAGTTGATCAGAGGTATCTCAAATATGTTACGAAAAAAACAAATGAAGCATGCAAGAAAGTATGCAGCATCCATCATATTCATCATGGACACAGATGCCATCACACTCATGGTAGGCTGATAAGGCAGGCGCATCAGCGGGTCATGTCGACATCGGTTTGTGTTATCAAACATGCGAAATTTTGACAGACGAATTGCGCGGAACATCATGTCATTATTGGATATTGCAAGTGAAACATGCATTCGCAAACATGTTTAAGGATGCATGAAGGCTGAAGTAGAGGAGGGACGATCCAGAGCGTGCAGGAGACCACACGAGTATCGGTTTGGTCACAGTAGAGAGACACATTTTATGACGACAAAGGAGAGGGCTTTTTGTGCGGTGCGTTCCTTTTTCGCGTTCGAGAATGCTTGATTATTCTATCTTCCAACTGATTGGCCATTGAGATACCCAAGCGTTCTGCAGCGGAAAAAATTGCGCTGACTACTGAGAAGTCTGCAAAACTCGATCCGAAACTAAAAGACACCCTCAGAACTTCTCGCGAAATTCGGCTTCATACTTGAGGCCAAACAGGGTTTATGTGGTCTCTTAACTAACGCCTCGGAGTCTTGTCTGTCTTTTCATCGCATGCAGTCGTGATTAGCGGACGCCGGCCTTACGCAGCGACAGACGATGGCTTATTTAACCGCGCGAGCAATGACGGATTGGCCGTGTTTTGAGTTATCTGCCGAGCGTGGCTGCCACCAGCGCGGACCCCTGCCAGCGCTCAGTCATGTGGAGCCCAGCCGAAGTACGGCAGGCTGCTGTCATTGCTCGGATCGGATGTCGCCGACAATCGGCGGCGGTCGCGCGGCGCTGCCATCGCCCGCCAAATATACAGCCACCGACACCTGCTGCACGGACGCGCCGTGGACGCTGCGCAAAAAACGGTGACAATGGCTCACTGCGGCGTCCGGTGACGTCACCGCGCGCGCGGTGACGCCGCGGTGACGCCGCGCCGGCGCCGCGCACATACCATTGTATGGTAAACCGGCCCGATTGGCCGGCCGCATCTGCGCGCCCGATCGGCGCGCGGCGGATCCGATTCAAGAGCTGGCGCCTGGCCGGCCGGCGTGCGGAGCGTGGCGCGACAGGCCAGGCGGCCGGCGGCATGTATCGGCCGCTATCTATTTGCACCCTGCAGCCGCAGATCTTTCGACATGAGCCGCGTTTGCATCGCAAATCGTCGGTGCTGGGCGAGAACTGACAACTGGGCGAACTGGCTTCGAGCTGTCCGACCTGTCCGACGTGCCGAGGGTTTCACGGAAACCGATCCCAGGGCGCAATACAGACTTCGGATCTCCGTCAAAGAGAATGCCCAATGGAGCATATGCAGACAGCAATTACGACCGGGGATTAATTGTAGCATCATATGTAAGCTTGCGATCAGGGGTGTAGCTTTCTTAACACGCGCACGGGTGGCCGGCCAGATACCCTTCGTTCTGGTGGGGAGGGGGGGGGGGGGGGCAATTTGAGCACTCTGAGATCTCGGGAACTAAGAAAGCTAGAAACACCAAATATACAGGGTGTCTTGACCTGTACGTGAACTCACTTAGGTCAAAGTTTTAACTTCCTAGGTCATGACATTTAGATCAAATAAGGTCAAAAAGGTCAAATTTCAGGTTGGTTTCCAAAGTGCCCTCAGAACCTAGGCAACTGCTTCTAAGCAAAAGGCAAAAAGCCCATTTGAGTGACCTTGTTTGACCTTTTGAAGGTCATGGTTTCCAAAATAATGCAAGACATCTTAGGTCAATGACCTTTTCTGACATCTAAGAAGTCAATGGAAGATGTATAATGCGGTTCCTGCTGTCCATAAATTCGAAATGAGCACCACAAACTATCCCATACAGCGAGCCCTAGAGTAATAAATCAGGTTGGTTGTGATCTTGGTCTGACCTTCATACCTGTCTTACGTCAACGTAATTTGCTCATTCAATATTTGTGGTACCAAAGAAAGCATCTCAGGGATGAATGGCTTCGTCAAACACTCCGTTATTGTATCAGATTATACGATTCCCTAGAAATTGCCTCCGCTGAAACCACGGCCTGACTTTGACCTGCCATAGGTCAGCGACCTTACAAGGTACATCTAAATTTTTATGTCAAACGATCCGCTATTGAATTGTCTACAGCTATGCAAGATCTGGCGCGGCTACGTCGCGTCGTTCGGAAGCCATTCTGGAAAAACCTTCGGGGAGTCAGTTTGACCCCCGCCCGAGCGCGTGTTAAAGCGGTTTGCGGAGGGGGCTCTGTCAAAAAGTTTGACTCAATGTACGCTCCGAACATGATTTCTATTCGGATTCCAGCCACTCGAATTTTCGTGTTCGACGCCAAAATAAAGAAATTTACAGATTTCGTACATTGAACTTTTTTCCTGGGAAGGAATTACTTCTACTTCAGGTTAATGTTTGCTGCCTTTTTGCGAAAAGCTTGGAATAGGCTGTAATTCACGGAAAAATATATCAGTACATCTTCGTAAGGGATCACTGATAACCACCGCCTGTGTCGCTGGTGGTGTTCTATAAACGCCACAGCCATGATTATGTGACAAATAAACTTGTGCGACCGTTAAGAAGAACATGAATCAACTTTTATCTGCACCATTCCATACTTTTAAAGGCTGCGGCATACGCAGTCAATTATTCTTCACACCCAATCATGGCGTTATCATTTGATTGCCAAACATTTGCAGACTTCCTTAACATATGTGAGTGAACATGACAACGCATTATGCACCTACGAGGTACTGTTTGGTACAAAACTAACATGACACTAATAGTGTTATGTTCAAAAACCTAGGCCCCAATATACCAATAGTTAAAATGATGTAATGATATGATGATTGTTCTGTATTTATTGCATCAAGTATTGCCTCTTTGCTGATACGCATTGAGAGGGCTTAGAGAAGCACTGGTGGGGGAGGGCTCACATCAGCATTGGGGGAGGGAGGAGGCTCAGTCCCCCGAGCCCCCCCCCCCCCGCCCCCGAAAGTGTATAAAGTGACGCCGCTGCATTGCGACTGTCTTTGTCAGCTGACCTATGATGACCTGAGCTTTCAATGAATCACAGGGGCTCAGCACTGATCAAGGCGCAAAAAAGGCACCGTGTCAAAAAAACATGCAATCAATCCCAAAACAGGACGGTAAACAAAACACCATGATGCTCATCGTGTGTGACGCATAATATTTTCTTTGAGTCGGGATGAATGGAAGCTAGATATATTGGCAAGGAATGTATTCAAAGTTGCCGATGGTTGCCAGCCATTGAAACACGGGAGTGCTTGCTTATTGTCAAGTGCTTGCCTATTGTTTGACTGAGTGGGTGATGCTTGTGATAGTTGTGTTGACTACATTGCACGGCAGCTAGTGTTCATTTATGGGTGGTGCTTGGTGTTGGCTGTTCATCTCTTCCTCTATAAAAACCACGCAGCTGACGCATCACACCTGTCCCTTCATTCTCCTGTTTATTCTACGAAGAATAAGGCTATTACTACCGTCTTATCCATATGCATGATGCTCCTCGCAAATGCACCTAACAGCTCATGCAGCTTTGGAAAGCTTTCAAAACATTCTTACCCCATCTGTGCAGGAATTAGGGGACGTGGAAAATGGGTGGATAAGTGGGTGGGTAATGTGTGTGTAAAGTAGCATGCGTCATGGACCGTGGGCGGACACAGGTATGACCACGTCAGCACAGGGAGGGTGATAGGAATAACGACCTTACGCGTGAAGGCCTCGGGTCTTAACGTTATATACCTGGGCTTGTTAAAGCCCTGTAAAGGGAGTCATCTAACTATACTAAGTGTGCGGGCCGCTCCAATGTCGAAGCAGGGGGAAAATCCAAGCACGGGACGAAGGGAACCTCCAAATCCCATTGAAAGGGTGACCCAAACGCGAGTGTAGTTCATCCCGCGCCGAGTAAAACGAAAGCTTTTATGACCCGGGGCACAAACAAAGGGCATCAGATGTTTGTCTGGATGGAATCCGATAGGAAAACCACGATGGACTTCCACAGCTGTGGATACTTTCGCGTCCCAAGTATGGGTACATGGACGTCCACAAGTAAGCAGAGGAGCGCCGGAAGCCCCGGCACAGGAGTGCCCACAAACGTTTGTACAAACCCAAACCCACACAAGCGTTCCCCAGTCCAGCTATGGGGGCGTTCTAAGGCCCATGACGTCCAGCCTTGTCCAATTTCACTCCTTGTAATAATACGTAGGCCAGAAACAGAAAGTAGCTATAATGATAAGCTCCGATAGGAAATTCAAATGACTG